CTTAAACTTCTTTGCATTGCACCGAAGACGTTGCTTTCCTTTCTGTTGTTGGCATCTGTTATGAATATAACAGAAACGGAGAGACTGGAGATAGCGCCTTAGACCTTGGTAGACCCTTGATAGATAATATCTTCTAGTAGATTTCTTTATAGAATCTTAATTATCTTATACTTAACTTATAAATCCACTATAGTAATAGCAATTAATTTCCTACTATTATAATAATTTTCTTCTTATCTACGAAAATTTATCATATAAGATACTAGTCTTAGTAAAGTAGCGTTAAGCTTACTTATTATTATAAGTAATAGATTTCTAAATAGAAAGAATTAAGTTTCTTATATACTATAATAGTCTATCTATTTATTATAATTATTTATCTCGATATTTTAATAATTTGAAAAGCTCTAATATTAATAGAGTAAGTATTACGTTTTCGTAACTTAGCGTAACTTAGTCTAGCGTAACTTAACGTATAACTACTTTCTTCGTTTCTTTATAGCTTTTTAATATCTTTAATTAATTAATTAAAATTATATTAAGAAATATCTTTCTTCTTTATAAAACTTCTTTCTCGAAGTATATATATACTTCTTATATCTATAATCTTAATAGTAAGAATATTTTATACTTCTTTAAAATTTTCTTTATAAGATTATATTCTAAGATAATATATTAACTTTAAGAATATATATTCTTTAAGGATATACTTTTTATTATATATTATTATATTATTTAAAGTAATAAGATAATATTAAATTTCTAAGTATATTAAACTTTCTAATTTTAAATATTCTAATTCTATAATAGTACTACTATTAATCTAAAAAATTAATTTTCATACGATTTTCGCCGAGTTCGCACGATTAGCACGATTTAGTCTATTTAGCAGACTTTATCTATATCTAAATTCTTTCCGCTAGTTCTATTAATTTAGCAACTTTAAAATTTTTTAGCAACTTTAAAATTTTTACGTAATATACTTTAATATACTTTAAGTATTATTCTATATATATATAGTATTAATATATATTATTATTAATATATATATTATTATACGCTATATTAGAGTATTATCTACGCGACTAATTTTATTAAATTATTTAATTTTATAGTTAAATTTAAGTTAGCGTTAATACTTATCGTCGTAGAATCTTATCGTTATAATATCGATTATTAGAACTTTTCTTTTTTTATACGTATTACTATTAAACTAGTAGAACTAGCGAAAAAGATTAAAATAGTTATTAAATCGGCGGAATTTAGATAGATTCTAATCAGATTTACTAATTCGACGGATTTTATAATTTCTACGATAAACGCGCGATTAGCAATTTCAAATTTTGTAGAAACTTTTTAAATTTATAGATGTATTTAAATTTATATTTAAATTATATAATCTTTAAGTTTATAAATATTTTAAGTTTACTTACTCTCGAAGTTTATATAATCTTTAAGTTAATATACTATCTTAGAGTATATAAACTTTTAGATATTAATCTAAAAAATCTAAGGGTATCTCTACTAGCGATGTGATATTATATGCAAAGCAAATGCTTTACAGTAATTACCGTATGTCAGGCCTCTAGAGTATTATAGTATATAATTCGTAAAATACGCTTAGTAATCTAAATGTAAGCCTTCTGATTAGCTAAATCCATAGTCTTAATAATATCTTACGGAGAAAAGTCTTCAAAACCTACCATTTCTTTATCAATTAACCTTCCATCAAGCATATTACGAGGTAGACGCGTTGTTGGAAGCTCCCATAGCTCCCATGGCTCCTGCACGTACCTCGGATCTGTATAGCCTCATTTCTTGACTCGCAAGAGTACCCTCAGTAGGACTAGATTACACGGAAATGGTACCTCTCAACAGGTGGATTCCATGCCAAATTTTAAGTACCCACTAGTGCCCTACTAGCGTGACCGTCAGACCAATTGCTTTGCAGTAATTTCACGTGTAATTACTGAAAGTGTAATTACTGCAAGGCTTTTGGTCACATCGCTAATCTCTACTCTTCTAGTATTAGAATCGGAGCGTAAGAAATAGAGTTAAAATTGGAATTTTATTTTAGGGAGAGGGTTCTAAAATAGAACTGGAGGGACGGTCCAAAAATGGAGTACAGAAGTGCGAGGATGACGAGATAAAGGGATCCAAAAGTGGAGCAGGAAGTTCAGAGATATATTGGTGCTCGTCTTTAATATGTTCCCTCGCCCGTTCTCTGCAGACGGCAACGCACATCCTACACGAATGTAGGCTGTACCATAGGGAGAGGAGGGAATAGTGGAGGAAGGAGAGGGGAAAGACCGCGGGGGGAGTCATCACACATGAGGATATGATGACAACACCATGATATGCTTCAATGGCGGCAGATTTCATACGGCATACGGGGCTTATTGGGCAATATTGCAGTGAAGGACGCTTGCTGGAAACTCCCAATCAGAGACCATGAAGTGCGGTTCAAGCCCGATCCCTTCTCTACTGACGATAGTAATGCAGTTATGGAAATATCGGAAGTATCGATGATAAGTCGCGTCAGGTATGGCCAAGCTCTGATGCTACCCGAAATCAGGGAAGAATTTAAGAAGCGAGGATATCTGCCAGAGATCCGCAAACCAGGGATCAAATCACGCTCTGGTTTAGGCCTGTATGTTGAATACTGCTATCAACTTGTACAGCGTTACTCGAGTAGTCTGATTCTATCTGGCTTGTGGCTTGTGGGCCATCTATATTCTTTATGGATTCGGTGCAGAAGTAGTTCAAAGGATTACGATGAATGGAAAAGGCACAAGAGCTATGAGCGGAAGTATCGAGCCGTGGAACAGAGTCTCGGTGGGAACACATACGTCCAGAATTTGTGTTCGCCTTCCGTCGTAACGCCTTTCATGACGCAGCAAGGGTTTCTTGGGGTTGGTCCAGCCGCTATCAAAGACGACGATATCGTCTGCATACTGTTTGGAGCCAAATCTCCATACATTCTTCGACGACGTCCGATTACCCACAACGGCTTCTTTCTTGTGGGCGAAGCATACGTCTATCTAGCTGGGGTATTTCCATATTGGCAAGCCATGCTCACACTAGACCTGTAGCGGGAGTAGTGTTTGCTACTGGATGCGAAGACATAGTTTGACCTGTAGCAGGAGTGGTGTTTGTTATTGGATGCAAAGACATACTTTGACCCGTAGCGGGAGTGGTTTTTGTCATTGGATGCGAAGACATAGTTCGACCTGTAGCGGGAGTGGTGTTTGCTACTGGATGCAAAGACACAGACTGACCTGCAGCGGGAATAGTATTCGCTGCCGGATCGTGAAACACAGTTTGACCCGCTGCGCGTTTGTCAATTTCGTATCGACCCCACAAGAACTTATTATATTTCATAGGAAGCAAATGCCAGCTAATCATTGCCTTTTCCTCCTCCTCATTGAGTCGCAGGTTTATATAGGCATTGCCGCGCCTATCCTCGCCAGCAGGATTATTCCTAGTGATCTCCAGACGCCGTCCGATATGTAATTCATCGCAGTTATAACGTTGAACGACGATAAGCGTGGCGAGAGTGAGCAGTCCTATTAGGGTGATTTGGATGCACAGAGAAGCAGATCCAAGGGAGACTACAAGGACAGCAAGAGCCGCCCAGTTGACCCCCTGAAAAAATCTGTAGAGTAGGGGATGTTTTGGCCGCGGTGTCGTTAGGAGAACATTTGTCGTAATACCCCTGGTTGTTCGGATTGTAACAGCCCTTCCAGATGGGAGTGTTAGGAACAGCTTCACTGCATCCGTTTGCTTGTCGGCTTCAGTCGAGAGGTCGTCGATTGACTGTCTTAGTGAGGATAAGATATAAACGCGTGAGATGACGGTTACGACTAGGCTGACAGATGCGGCAAACCCGTACCAGTCATCTAGTAGCACTGGGATGAAAATAATTGCAGCATCTATTACGGCATTCAAAGACAGCATTATACACCAAGAAGTAGTGATGAATGATCGCTTTTGAGGCAAAGTGTAGATATGAAGTACTGTCGTGTTCCAATTGAAGGCTTGACAGGTGAGCCAGCGCGTCCACCAGGCGCTCAAGTCAATCGCGAGGACGCCATCCGTGACGTTGTAGAGAGTGAAACCAGGAACAACGTTGGTAATCGTATTGTCGGCAATGATTTGTGGTGCTAGAAGAGGGAGATATTCTGCAAAGCTGTTATGGACAAGACGTGAGATAGATTGCCGAAGGCTTTCAGTCCCCAGAAGAGTAATTATGCCGAGAGCGTCGAGTTTGACTGGCGCCCAATCCTTTGCATCCAGAACTGGCATCCCTGTGATCCTGAGAGAGAAAGTCGCGATTGTTTAGGTTGAGTACGTCGAAACACGTTGAAAGTAAGACTCATTCAATCCCTAAGTTGTGGGTTCACAGCTCGTTTAGAGCGGCTGGAATTTGGAGTTGAACTGGGAAGCTTTGTGGTCGCAGCTCAATCAGCTTTGTCAGCGGCGGGGTGTGCAATTGGCCTTAAGGTTTGATCACGCAATCTACGGAGTATATTACCAAGATATCCCTTATCAATCAGAAGCTAAAGTCCCAACGGAGCAAGATAAACCTCTTTTGTTTGATCTAGCCCTAAAAAACATAATTATAACGCTCGCCTCCGGACCGTCACGGCCGTCAGCTTTGTTCTATTGGCTGGCATACTTTCCGGTTACAGGGTTTCGCATGCGGTTCTTATCTTTTGGACCCTATCAGCATAATCTGCCACGTCAATCCCGGCACACTCAAGGTCAAAAGCATGTCGCTGTTCGCTATCCGATAAACGCCGAGACCCCGGCAACATAGGCGAAATTTGTTGCCTCTCGGCGTTTATCGGACTAGTAGCAATTTGAGCTATGAATCCGAACACCGTTTCGTATCCACATTCCTTCTCCCGCGACGCCTCTTTAACTCGCTATCAAGAAGCCTTATTCAACGAAGGCGGCACATTGGGATCGTTTTGCTAAATCGCCTCATACCTGAGAAAATGGACCATCTTCCTGTTCCAAAATGTCCGCAAAACAGACCCCAGTCTGTTTTGTGCCTTGCCCAGCAAGATTTTGATGGGGGAGATTTTGACACCTATCCAGAGCGTGCAGGCTGGGGCGAGAGGAGCAGAAAAGAATGGGCCGTTGAGTTTCAACGGAAATCTCCAGAGTTCCAAGGGTTTTTGCACACGTGGAGGTTTTTCGGCCTAACTTCCACACTCTTGACAATCGACAACGGCAGACCACCGCGTATCAGCGACCTTACTCGCCATACAACTGCAGGACGCATAATTGATACTTCAAAGCTTCCGGGCATGTTGGAAACCTTTATCCGAAATAATTCTCTTTCCCAGGTCCGAGATGTTGTCGATCTCGAGCGTCTCTTGGAGGACATCAACCTTTCTCTTGTAAACCCCCTTCAAACAATGGACGACCAGATTAGACGGCACAAGTTTAACAATCGACTTTCAACTATCTTAACGGTAATGCTCACTTCTATAATGAATGAGTCTCGATTTCGGAGGACTCAAACTGCATGCGATTGCTCAATTGATCCATCTCGAGTTGAGTCACTCAATACATTTATCAACAACGCCGTCATTGTCGATCCTCTACCTGTTTTAGTCCAGGACTCTATCGATCTCCTTTTGGATGCTCTGACCTCTTCGTTCCTTCCGAAACATCCCCAAAAATACCTAAACGAACTGTCAGTAGAATCGATAAGCACATACGCGCCGGTTCTCAGCCAAACCCTTCGATCGCAATCAATCCATATCAGCCCGAGAAGCTCAGTCATCTCGAATATGATTAAGAATGGCTGGTGTCCGTCATTGACGTCCCAATTGCGCCAACGATTTGGAATCTCTGCTCTGGTGTTCATCAGCAACTTGGAGCGACCTGATAGCTTAATGCACGGAGCATGCAGCGAGGTCAGGTGTGCTTTTGACAAAGTCGACCAGAAAAACTATATAAGAGCGCATGCTGACGGATGCGCTGGCGCAGCTAGCTGCTTTGATGTATGTGTCGACAAAGCTGAAATGCATGAAACCTTAAAGAATGACCGGTTTCCCATCATCAACGTCATTAATCAGAACAATAATCTGTTATCGATGAATATTTCGGGTTCTGAAAGCACAAAAGAATACGTTGCTATTTCTCACGTTTGGTCAGATGGCTTGGGAAACCCAAAGGCAAACGCAATACCTCATTGTCAGCTCCAAGCATTAGGCAGCATGGTAACTAGCCTCCCCGTTCCTACATCAGCAGGAAACCTGGCACCATTCTGGCTTGATACCATCTGTTGTCCTATCGAAGAGAGCAAGGACCAAGAAGCTGCCATACGTCTGATGAGGGATACTTATGAGAAGGCATCCGTGGTGTTGGTATTGGATTCGTCTACCCTCACCCTCAGCACAACAGACATGAACGGCGACGTTGAAATCCTGATGAGAATATTCCGTTCTCGCTGGACTACCAGATTGTGGACTCTTCAGGAAGGGGCTCTGGCACAACGGCTGTTTGTGCAGTTTGCCAATGGGCCCTACGATATGCAAGAAGGCATCAAACGTATTCAAAAGAACGCTGACATGAGTATGGAGTACACAGTCATCCCTACGATCTTGAAAGAGTTTCTCGAACTTCGGGTGTTTCAAATTCCAAGCATGTCGACTGAACAGAAGCTTACCGCCATTTCAAGAGCTTTACAATTCCGCGCAACCAGTGTTGAAACAGATGAACCGTTGTGTTTGGCTACACTGCTAGGTTTCGATACTCAAACAATTATGGCTACCCCTCCAAAGGAAAGAATGCAGCGCTTTTGGGATTCCATGTCTGGGATTCCACCAGACATTCTCTTCCTAGACTCTTCAAGAATGTCTGAGGATCGGTACAAATGGGCTCCACGAAGCTTCTTGAGGACGGAAGCAGATGGTCCTAGTCAAACAAGGCGCTTGATCTACCACGACTATACAGAAAGTGTACCAAGATTTGCGAACAACGGTCTCCAACTTACAGCACCCGTCATAAAGACAGCATTCCATTGGAACAGGCCTGTAGGGAACGCCTTCTATATCTTTGCCCTCAAAGATGATGAAATGAATGGGGACTGGTACTGGATTCGGACGAACATGAGCAGAGCAAAGGCTGCAGAGAAATATTCTCAACCGTTCGACAGATGCGACCACGTCCAAGAGTGCCTTAGGATGTTGCCACCTGTATCACAACCAAAAGATCGAATATTGATTATTATGCTCAAGAGGCAAAAATCAATAGATGTAATGGGAGAGACTGAGGGATTTCTTTTGTATGGAACATCAACCACAGAATCAATATCCGCGCAACCGGTATGTTCCACGGTGGTGACGAAGCTGGATATGTTCCGCCACAGCCAACAATTCTCTGTGCTTAAAAAATTAAGAGAAAGACTTTGGCCGAATTTTGAGAGCAGAGAGATCATAGCTCAAAACAAAAAGACGGGTAACTTTTTTGCTGGTATGGGGACTGATCTAGTTCCGCGGCAACTCTGTATTGGATAAATAGCACCTTGTAGCAACTTGATGACATACTAGGCGAGGTTGGTGAGGAGAATAATATGCTAGAAAGCCACTTCCAGAAAAGATCGAAGATGGAATGAATGATGCGGGAGGTGGAAGAACGAGTTCAAATGGGAAGACTACAGCGACCCCTGATGCTTCCATCATGGTTCACGAGACGGGAGAGAAAATGATTCAGGTGCCGGGCAATGCAAATAGCGTTATGGAGAAGACCTTTGATGTCAAGCCAAGATCCAGTGACTGAACTTTCAGTCAGCATTAGCAGGCCGCATGCTATCGAAAGACTATTTCACGTTTGACTACCATTCACGGAGTCATGAGCAATTTACTCATAGTCTTACGACCCTCAAGATCCTGGCTTAATCATTAATAATGTCTTTCGCGAGTAGATTAGAGTAGTCACATACATTATATACTCTAGCTATGTTCTCTAGAGAATATATTTTATAAATACGAGGCCTTAAGTAATCCTCCGCTATTATCTTAAATAGAGTATTCGTATAATATTTAAATTTCTTCTCGATATTAATATAGTTTATTATAGTAGATTTAATAATCTTTATATTATTTATCGTTAATTTTCTATTAATATAAAATTAATATCTTATCTTCTCTCTATATTATCTTATTTTTAAAAAATTAGAATATTAATTAATAAAATTAATATATTAATATATTAGTATATATAAAAGAATAAGATAGAGCTAAGCTTAAAGATCTTAAATTTATATATATAGCTAATTATAAATTTAGAGTTATTACGCTCTTTAATTAAACTAGTTAAACTATTATAAATAAATAAATTAATATTCGTAATTATTAAAATCTCGCTCTCTCGCGTCTTTCTTATTAAAAAAAAATAGATATACGTTATTTATAATAGTAATAACTTTTTTTATTAAAATTTTTTATTTTAAATTTTAAATTTTCAAAGCGCTATTTACGCTTTTCGAATTTTTAAGAATTTTAAAAATTTATCTTATAATTATTAAAGCGTAAGGAATTTAAATATCGCTTATTAAAGTTCGCTTATTAAAGATCGCTCACCTATTTACTCGATAGTCTCGATTAAAAAAATAATTATAAATTTAATTTATAGATCTTTACTTATATAATAGAATAAGATAAAGTTAAGCTTAAAAATTTTAAATTTATATATATAATTAATTATAAATTTAAAGTTATTACGCTCTTTAATTAAATCGACTAAGTTATCGCGAGTAAATAAATTAGTATTCGTAATTATTAAAATTTAAACGTTCGTAATTATTAAAAATCTCTTCTTCTACTTTTAATTCTTTAATAAATCTATTAATTTCTATTAAAATTTTAAGTTTTTTTTTTAAATTATAGTTCGAAGTTTACGCTTTTTAATAATAAAAAAATTTCGAGATTTAATCTTATAATTATTAAAGCGTAAGAAATTTAAATATTACTTATTAAAGTTCGCTCGATAGTTCTAATTAAAAAATAAGTATATATTATTTAATTTTAAAATAACTTTTTTATTTTCTATTAAAATTTTAAAATTTTTTATTTAAATTATAGAATATAATATAGGCTTTTAGATAAAAAAAGAATTATTAAATTTAGTCTTATAGATATTTAAAGATAAAGAATTTAGATATCGCTTATTAAAGATCGCTTATTAAAATTTACTCGATAGTCTTAATTTAAAAAAATGATTATAAATTTAATTTATAAATCTTTACTCGTATAATAGAATAAGATAGAGCTAATTTAAAAATCTTAAATTTATATATATAGTTACGCTACGTAATAAGAGAGAAAATCTTAATAAGATTTCGAAGAAGATTAAAGTCGAGATAGAGTTTCGAGTTAGAGTTTCAAGTAACCTTAAAATTCTAATCTCGCCTCGATTTAAAGATAAGATTTTAAGATATATTTTAACTATTCTAATAAACTCTAAGTATCTCTAAATATTTTTAAATAACTCTTTTAAATTTTAATATTATATATTAAGAATAAGATAAAATAGAGTATAAAATATAGATATTTAGAAAGATATTTAGAAAGATATAATAGATAATATTTAAAGCCTATTATAAGAATAATAACTTTATATTTAAAGCTTATTATAAGAATAATAGTTTTAAACTAATTTATTATAAGAGTAATAGTCTTAAACTAATTAAATTAATAAGTAAAGATCTATGAATTAAATTTATAAAGTTAAATTCTTTTTTAAGTTAAATCGAATTTTAGCTCTAGCTCTAAGTTAAATTAAACTTTAATCGCTTACTATACGTTTTTAACCTATATATAAATATATATATACGAAGAGAGGCGCGCTAAGATTTAATTAAGGAAGGTATATTAAATATAAAGAATTAATTCGTAATAATTGCCTATAAAAAACAGAGAAAGAGTATCGAAATATTGAAAAGAAATGGAGATAATATGTTAATTAGTGGTGTGAATCCCATATTATCTCCTACCGTAGTGAAATCTTTCGAATAATAAAATAGCTGTTAGAGTAAGACATCGGACGGTTTCAATTCGTTTAAATATGTATTGTTCGATGCTTCTTCTATAGAGACCTAATTGGCTATGATCGTCGTAGTAGATTCTCCTCTTGTAACGTTATTGCAGTGATGTATCATATTAATGCAGTGGGGATGACAGGGTAAGTTGCAGTGGTGTTCTCCGCTTGCTGAGTGATGATTTGATATGGAACCGTGGAGAGCATATAACGTGGGATCTTGAAGAGCTAAGTCGTGTTCTTAGTGCTAGAAGCCTTATTGCCGCTTGATTTCTCCGCAGTGTTCTCCATAGTGTTCTCCGTAGTGTTCTCCGCATTTATCTATTGTAATTCCTTCTCTTCCTTCTTAATATAGTGGGGATGACAGGCTAAGTTGCAGTAGTGTTCTCCGCTTACTAAGTAATAATTTGATATAGAACCGTAAAGAGTATATGACGTGGGATCTTGGAGAGCTAAGCCGTATTCTTGATGCTAAGGGCCTTATTGCCGCTTGATTTCTCCGTAATATTCTCCGCATTTACCTATTATAGTTCCTTCTTTTACTTCTTCTCTTATAGAGTATTAGACTAAGTAGCTAGCTGAGTAATTAACTAAGTAAATAATTAATATAATATAAGATCTTAAAGAGCTAAGCCGTGTTCTTAATAATAATAATTTTATTATCGCTTAATTTCTTTATAATATTCTTCGCATTTATCTATTATAGTTTCTTCTCTTACTTCTTCTTTTATAGAGTATTAGACTAAGTAACTAGCTAAGTAATTAATTAAGTAAATAATTAAGTAACTAGCTAACGATTTAACTAAGTAAATTATTAAGCTAATAGAATAGATAGTATTAATTAAGCGACTAAGAAATATAGTTAAAATAGAATAATAAAGAATAAATTAAGAAGAAAGACGCGTCTTAAGAGATAGTATCGCTAGATTAAAAGATATTATCGCTAGCTTAAAAGAAGTATATAGAAGAGAATAATAACTATAAATTCGTTCGAGCTCTTTTTAAGAATCTTTTAACGCGTTTATAAGTAGTAGTAAATAGCTATTAAACTCGCTTATAGCCTCGATTATTAGTAGTAGCGAATTTATTAAGAGATAGTTTAAGAGCGTTAATAGAGACTCTAAGAGGCGAGTAAAAGAAGTATATATATCTAAAGTATTTAGTAATATATTAAGAATAAATATATTTATATTAGTAAATTAATAGAATAATAAAAGAAGAATAGTTATATAAATAGATGAAAGAATTATTATTCGATTTCGAACGCGTTTAATATAACTACTACTATACTATAACTATTATATTTAAATATCTATTTAATTTATTAATAGTAGATTAAACTTTATAATTTTTATAGCGTTAGAAAGCGTAAAGCGAGCTTTATAATTTAAGAAATTATAAAGTAACTATATATATCGTAAGCTAAGTACTTTAAAGTATAAAACTTCTATATATAAATTTTTAATAAGAGAAGCGCGAAAGAGCTATCGGGCTAATTTAGTCGGTCTAATTAAAGAGCGTAGCGAACTCGAATTTATAATTAACTATATATATAAATTTAAGATTTCTAAGCTTAGTCTTATCTTATTCTTTTATATATACTAATAGACTTAATAAGAAAATAAGATATCTTTATTATATCGATAGAAAAGTTTCATCTTAATCTTATCTTACTTCGTTTAAATCTAGACTCGAAGTAAGATAGTATTAAGTATCTAAAATCTTATCTTACTTCGCTTTATTACGTAGCGTATATATAGTTAATTATAAATTTAAAGTTATTACGCTTTTTAATTAAATCGACTAAATTAGCTCGCTAACTCTCTCGAGTTTTCTTATTAAAATTTATATATAAAAATTTTATACTTTAAAATAATTAGCTTTCTATTAATATATATAAAAGAATAAAATAGAATTAAGTTTAAAAATCTTAAATTTATATATATAGCTAATTATAAATTTAGATTTATTACGCTCTTTAATTAAATCGACTAATTTATCGCGAATAAATAAATTAGCGCTCGTAATTATTAAAAAAATAGATATATATTATTAATATATAGAATAACTTTTTTATTTTCTATTAAATTTTTAAGATTTTTTTTAAACTATAGAATAAGATATAGACTTTTAGATAAAAAAAGAATTTCTAAATTTAGTCTTATAATTATTAAAGCGTAAGAAATTTAAATATCGCTTATTAAAGTTCGCTCGACAGTCTTAATTAAAAAATAGATATATATTATTTAATTTTAGAATAACTTTTTTATTTTCTATTAAAATTTTAAGATTCTTCTTTTTAATTATAGAATCTAAAATAGGCTTTTAAATAAAAAAGAATCTTAAAATTTAATCTTATAGTTTCTTAAAGATAAGGAATTTAAATATCGCTTATTAAAGATCGCTTATTAAATTTACTCGATAGCTCTAATTTAAAAAAACGATTATAAATTTAATTTATAAACCTTACTCGTAAATATTATTACTTTATAATTTTATAAATTATAACGCTTAATTTACGCTTTCTAACGATAGAAAAATTATAAAGTTTAATCTACTATTAATGAGTTAAATTAATATTTAAATATTTAGTTATATTAAACGCGTTCGAGATTAAATTATAATTATTTCATCTATTTATTAATATATATAAAAGAATAAGATAAAACTAAATTAGAAAATTCTGAATTTGTATATATAGTTAATTATAAATTCGTTAGGTCTACGCTTTTTAATTAGAT